ATCTAAATTTATAATATTCTATTAAAGAAAGAAAATTATAAATTAATAATATCAAATTAAAAAAAATGTATTTGATTCAATAATTATAGTTTTGATAATGGATAATGGATAAAACTAGAAGAATTAAAGAACAAAACATATAACTAAAATAACTTAATGGAATTTATAGGAATTTGTTACAAGAAATAGAGATTCTATATTATTTATTATATTATATATTTGTTTGAGGATAAATAAGGTTTGAAAGGAAGGGGTACTATTATAGGTTCATTATATATAATTATTTATATCTATTTGTATTTATCTGTATCTATTTGCACCTATCTATATCTATTATATATACATTAACTATTCTTAGTTAGATTGAATAGATGCCTTAAGCATCTATTAACTATATAGTCAGCATCGCTCCGTGCACCTCCTTCTCTCCTTGTCGAATATCATACATCTTACCTAGTCCCTACTAGAACCCGCACCAGCCCCGTGATACTAGTGAGTAAGATGTGTAGTTTATGACTACTAATGTATATCAACTTGAAATGATATCGTAATATATTAATGTTCTTTTCAAGAAGCAGAAAAAGCAAATCTGAAGCTCGCTTCTGGATCAGACAGTTCTGTCTTAGCAGCAGATGGGAGAAATTTATATAGTGATAAATAAACATAAGTTTCTAGTTCAAGGTCTTTATTATGCTTATTATTGATATTATGACTATCCATAGACTTGTTACTTAGTCACTTGTTCACCAGTTCAAGTTATTATTATCCCCTACTATATAGCATAGACATTCGTCTAAACTATTAATGTAATGAAACTTTTGTGTATTGAAATTATCTAATTGTTTGATCGGAAGAAATACCTACTGTGTGCTTATCTAATCTTGGTAAAAAGATCAATTGCTTGATAGGATATCTTGTCCTCCGACCTTTTACGCTAGCTATATCTTCCAATCATCTACCACATTCCCAAGTAACTCCAAGCCATCCAACGCCACCTGCACAAACACACCACGCTCCCAAGTAACACCAGTGATCAAAGCCAACCCCACACCCCTCACTATATCATTCCTAGCGCACCGCCGCCATATTCGCCGCCAAATCTCGTCCTGCCGAAGAAATATCCCGACAAGTAAGTAACGCCAACAACCTAAACGCCCCATGAATATAACCAAAAAGGAACTCCACTGGCACAGCCCACCACATCTCGGTCTTATGACGCATGTAATAAGGCCATGGTTTAACCAATCTACTCAAAAACAGTGCCCAAAATAAATATGCACCAGCATGATTATCATCGGTGTAAAATTCCGAATTGAAGAGTGTGAGGAAGAGGAGAGGATCGTAGATGATGGAGATATTGATCAAGTTCGAGAAAAACATGGAATAACTGGTCCAGGGATAATCTTTCCAGCATCTTCCATCGACGAAGAGAGACTTGGAGTGCGAGCGCCAAATGGAAGGGGCCCAGCGGATAAGCTGTTGAGAGAACTTGAGCCAGCCGCCGGTTGTGCCTAGTGTTGTTCGGATCATTGCCTCGGGACGATTATGAAAGACGGTTTTCCATCCATGATTTACCATGTATCGAGTGGTAAAGTTATCATCATCGCAATTGACGGGACCGGCGCCCAAGAAGGTCTCCGAGAGATATTTTTGTCGGTATTCGAGCGACTGGACGATATCCGTTCTGATCAAATTTGTTCTTTCAGAGATGACCCATACGCCGCCGTCGAGATTGTAGGTCGAGGTCATTTCGTAATTGTGACGGTCGAGGTAGAGACAGGCGAGGAAGTTGCGGATGGAATCAGACCAATTGTCTCCAGGCTGGCGGATGACGCGTTTGCAGGTCCCGACAATTCCTACGTTGAAGTCTTCAAATTCGGCGAGAACACTTCGGAGGAAAGTAGGGGGCCAGAAGACATGGTCGTCGGCATAGGCGATGATGTCGGTGGCAACGGTAAGGGAAGCGTGGACGCATTGTGCGCGTTTGTTGGGTTGATGGATGGCTACGACTTCAATTTTTCGACCTGGCAGCCTCTGTATTCTCAAAATTCCTTCGATGACTCTGCGTGATTGTATGAGCTTGTGGGTTCCGACTGTAGAAATGATGATTTTGGCTGGGTTATTATCGAGGATGCTGAGAACGGTTTCTGTAAATTCCTCACCAAAATCTCCAACGCTTGGTATGATTACCGTAACATCGCTTGGCAACACAGATGGGTGGAGTGTCGGGACTTTGTAGGCAGAGAGGAAGTTGTACGAGAATAGGTGGACAAATGTCTTTAAGAACTTGAAGACGAAAAGGAAGACAAAAGCTGCGGACCACGGGCTGGAGTAAAAGAAATTGCCGAGAGTACTGAAGAGGTCTCGTACAGGCTCGAGAGTGCTCAAAATAATCAGGATAATAGAGAAGATGGGAGGAGAGAAAAAGAAACTACGGAGTGCTTCAATTCCTCTTCCAAACTTGCTAGTTCTGAGAACCATGAGGCTAAAAAAATCCCACACAGCCAATGCAATAGAACCAATACTTGCTAGTGCTTGGTTGAGTGTAAACCTGAACAGCAGTTGAATATATTTGGGAATCGACGAGACAAGGTGGAAAGGTGCAATAAGGAAGGATAGAATTGCCCATGGTATTGACGATAGGAGGACAACCGACGTTTTGAACAAGGATATAATTGTCCATGGAATCATCCAAAAAGCCCATCCGATAAAATTGTGAATTGCTGCAAGGGTCTGAAGAAGGAAGTTGGAAATCTCTTCCTGTAAATTTTGCTCAGCTTCTTTGGCTTTATTGAGGATTGCAGCACCTTCCCTCAATATATGTGGTGCTTCTTGGAAACCAAATTTCAGAGTGGAATTAGACATGATGAAAAAGATATTAGATGTTAACTCTTCAATTAATGGTATATGTCGAGCAGACCTTACTCCTAAGTTTTGTGATGTTGAATGGATCAATTGATGGTTGTAGTAATTGCTGGGTCACCTCAAGGCTTTGAGGAAAGAAATACTTGAGATAAAGTTTTCCCAGTATTCTGAAGAAGAAAAAAAGATGGCGAAGAAGACCATCAATATGGAACTCCTTATAGAACTCATAGTGACAAGCTGGGGTGGATACAGCCTGAGAGCCCAACAAAAGATTTGAGTAATTCCTCAAAGACCCACCAAGGTAAACAAATTTTTGCTCCAGACCCTCTAGCACATTTTCTTTATTGAAATCGAAGTTTGGATGAAAACATCAGTAGCCTTTCATATATATATTTAGCGTGATATCTGCTTGTAGTAGACATTTAGCACGGCACATCCACTCTTAGCAATTTTATAATTGCACAAACTGTGGATTTGACAAATCGGCCCAGCTACCTTCCTGTACCTAAAATTCCCCTACATAAGCTCTAGTGACATTAAATCAATTGATTCAAAGAATAGAAAGTGATTATCAAAAATATTATTGATTTTAGATCACGTGGCAACAATAACAAAGACTGACATAATCCAAAGGAACAGAAAAGGGGTAACTATCCGGGTATCCATTTTCTATGATAAGATTACCCGATATAGTGAATAAGCAGTTCCTTGAGCTCAACTACTCAAACAAGCAAGGTAAGCAAAGGGGATACACAAGAAGGTCCCACTCATCAACAGTTCTTGTAAACATCTTGCCTATATAATAACCATGAAAAGAGACTCAGAGCTGTACATCTATTCATGCTTTGATATCTTAATTCTAACCAAAGCATATAAACTGAAGTCTGGAGATCAGATGTGAGTGAAACTATCACCCGGAATCTATCACAAACATATACCTATATAGAAGTTTGAATAGAATATAGCAATACTTGGCTAATCAATATAGTTACTTTCGAAGAAGATAATAGATATATATATCATTTGAACCATCATGATATTATATCAATACATCTCTCGCAAACTACACTACCTACAACTTGAAGGTGGTTGAGATAGGGTTGGCACTAGTATTCATTTGATCCACCAAGCCCCCCAAAATATTTCAGCACGGACGGGGAAATAAATCTCCGATATTGTGCACGGACTACTCTTAATTCACCAATTCATCCCGAGGTTCCTCAGCCTCTTTCCATAAACAATTTCTTCTCCTCCTCCTCATCTTCCTCCTTCAACTCTTTGAATATCTAAGACTGTATTGTCACAATTAGTTGAGGGTATTCAAAGAATTCTTAATTTTACTGCTTTGCCATAAATTATTTACCAATCTCTATCCTTGTGATCAATTCAAGAATCTAGACTTCGTTCGGTCTTGTTCTAAGGCATTGGTAAACAAACTTCCACCCCCAAGTTTTCAGAGCTTACAGATTTGATAGAGAGTTATCTACAACACATCTCAAGACTACAAAGTATATTCTTTTGTTTTCTTCTATTAGGTATGTAAACCTCCTGTTCTATGCTCTAAGGAGTATTGAACTAACATCTTCACAGAATGTCTTGCAGTTGCTGCACTCCAGTTCCCCCACCCGAAGGATACCAGCCTTTCATCTCGACCATACAGCTAGCAAGAAATGCCCACTTGATGAAAAGACTATCAAACTCTTCACGGTTGAATCAAATGTTACTAATGATGTCGGCCCACTTGTCAAGCTACCAATGGAGATCTTTCAACATACTCTCTTGTACCTCGATATTGAAACATTGGTCAATGTTCGCCGCTGCTCTCAGCATTGCAGATTAGCAGTCACTTCCACTCTAGAGTGGAAGGAGGTAATTGAAAATGCACCAGACGCATTACGCGCCATTTTAAGCACCGAAATGGGTTCTCATATTACGCTGCTCAAGTTACATCAGGCCCTAACAAACCCTGAATGCGAATTTTGTGTTGAGAATTCAAACGGTCCTGAATAGTAAGCTCTCCACTACCTTTCACCTTTTTTGAAATCTACTAATCAAACTTATAGTCTGGATGACGAGAAAGTCCTTGGTGGTTTCTTATCACTTCTCGAAGGAAAGCGCGCTTGCGCCTATTGTCTCCGCAATGATGTTTCTCTTAGAACTGTCCATTATATCGATCTAGTCCGACTCCAGTTACGCCCCGATACTGCAGTAAGTTTTCGATTCGACAAGGTATACCCAAAATTACGAACGATCCCAGGATGGTACGGCCACAAAAGATACAAGATGGCGGAGCGTCTGGTTCTCGTCCCCTTGAGCAGCATCGAAATGATCACCGGAAAACCACTCAACGCCTGCGATACAAGCGTGTTGCAGCACTCACCACATGAAGTCCCCATTCCTCGTCATCCATACGAAGAGCGTGGTCGCATGAATAAACAGCTCGGTCCCCACAATGGATATATTGGATTCGAACGCAACGAAGATGTAGCCCGACGCTACATGACCGCTATCGAATTTTCCTTCTTCGGCAAAACCAAAATTTATCCCAACCACAAAAGCCGCGCCACTTTTCACCGCTGCGTAGAATGTTTGTTGCAAGAACGCTACCACGGAATGCAATTTCTCGAATCATTTCAGCAGGGTGATGCCGATGAAGTAATCATAGCCTGTGCGGGAAATATCTATAAGCGAGAGACGAGACAGTGGCTTAATGATGTTAAAGCCGAGAAGAGACATGCGAGGAGGTTTCACGAGGTGATTGAAGAAGACGAACGAGATTGGAGAGTAGGTATAGATGCGCCAGTCTTCAATTTGAAGGATCCCGAGACTTGGAAGATATTAAGATTGTAAGGATTTCATCCATCTACATATGAGTTGCTGAAATTAACGCTATAAATAGGCACGGCTATGGTGAGGTTACTCCAAATCCTTAAAAAACATGGTAACATCAGTGGCGCAATCTGAATTTTCAGAGTATTGGGTATACCCAGGAAACTCAACGCCATTTTCGGCATTCATCGTGTTAGGCCAGAATTTCCTTTAATTTGCTCGACAGAATGGTAGCTTAAGAAACTTTTCAAATAAAATTTTACATGAAATCTATTGCAAAGTCTACCACACGTGATATGTGGAGGCCCATTATTCTACCTATCATCTCTATTTCAACCCACCACATACCAGTACATGTATTTGAGCAATCTCTTTCCAATTCATTCAATACACCCTCAACCCCTCTCTACCCACTCACCTTCTCATCCCCTAATTTCCTTTTCGGAGACCCACAAGAGCATAGATTTCTCTAATCCATAAACACGTTGACTACCTATATACCTACCTCCATACTTACTCCTCCATACTCACACACGTCACCCACACCCCACAAACCCGAAACCCCAAAAACAACAACAACAACAACAACAACAACAACATCAACACCAACACCAACACCAACACCAACACCAACTCATCAACACACCATCAAGTCTCAAACCTCAAACCTCAACTCATACATTACTCACAACCTTTCTTTATACCCCTCCTGGTTCGAGGAAGGCTAAGGGCTCCGGCCTATGCTAATCTCGAGTGCAGCCTGAAGGGAGCGATTGCTTCAAGGCGCACGTAACGCGCGGAAAGGTGTTGGTTGCCTTGTAGTAATACCCTACCCTACCCTACCCTGCCCAATCCAACCCAATCCAATCCAATACACATCAAACATGCTGTACATCCCAGAATAGTAACAACAATCCAACTAGCCTTGCTATTATTACTAAATTACCAATCTACTATTACCATTATACAAGTATTTATATCTTTTAATTTAGTAATTCAGTAGTTTAGTACGAGTAGTTCAGGATTTCAGGAGTTTATTAGCAGTACTCGAGTAGTTCAGTAAGCCGAATGAATATAAGATCAATACACACTCGAGTACCGATTATACTATACTCTATATCAATACACAGTGTGCATGTCATGTTGCTACTTACTTACTTCGTCTATGAATAAGTACTTGAGTAGACGACTCATCGTACAAGTAATGTAATACCTACCCTACCATATTTCCACATTCCTCGCAAATATCAAAACAAAAAGTCTTTACAGTAGTGAAGCTTTGCTCTCCTCTCCTCTCGTCTCCTAACAATTCTCCACATTTTCACATCTACGATTGGTCATTCAAAACCAGAACCACAATCGCATCACAATCAAATCTCACTTCAATAGACCATCCTTCCGTTGCAATTCGCCGAAAATTACTCTCCATTCAATAAACGCACACGTATACATAGGTATCAATCCTCCCATCCCATCCCATCCCATCCCAAGCCATGCCATGCATGAGCCCATCCATCATATTTTCTCACCCTCGTCCAGGAACTTAGTGATATCAACACCCCTAATCAACACCCCTAACACGAAAAACATACAATTCATACACAAATACGTGCTTCCGCGGCCCGATCCCGCCTTATCCATCATCCACCCACAAACGCCTGACCATCAATCCCCACGATTTTCTGTACAAGTTTCCGCCTCTCCGCACCATCTCGCATCCATTACCAAAAGCAATCACAAAAATCCCTTGCTCATACTATCCTGCCTGCTCAAACTACTCTTCCTCTTCGGAATTTCAATCCCCGCATCTTCAGAACTGAATTCGCTACCTGGTCTCCACGTGCCACTCGCACTGATTCGTCCACCAGGACCTTTCTGCATTCTCAATGCCTTCCAACCCTCTAATTCTCGCTCTAATCTCAAAGCCTTTTCTCTCTCCTCTCTCAATTCGCGTTCTGCTCTACGAGCTGAAAGCTGGTTGGTCGAATCGCTCGACTGAAGCTCGTCGATTGTCTTAAGGAGCTTTTCAACCTTATCCCTAGAGCGGACGATATCTTCTTGGAGTTGTGTATTGGCCTTTTCTTTGCGATCAATTTGTTGTTGAAGATCTTTGACTGTACGGTCAACGTTTCGGACAGAACGTTGTGACTTGTTACGTTCGGATTCTTGTTCATCGAGCTGGGATTCGAGCTAATAAAACGTTAGACTAGTGTTAGATTTATGGGAGGGAAATTATCACCTCTTGTACGCGCCCGTGAAGGAATCTCACGTCTTGACTGGCACTTGAATAGCCTTTTGTCTCCAAATCCAGGAGTCTGACCTGAGTTTCTTTGAGTGACTTTTCTAACTGAGCCTTCTCTTTATTCAATTGCGCCGTCATTTCTCGCTCGGCAACAATATCTTTCTGTATCTCCGATGCAAGTGCTTCGGATCGTCTCATCTTACCAACAGCAGCAGCTGCAATATCTTCTTGTTGAGCTAGATTAGATTTGAGTTCCAGAATCTCGCGATCCATGCCAGCAGCATTTCGTAGTGCAGGGCTATCGCTTCGAGCAAGATCATCAAGTCCTGCTTTGGCTTCTTCTAGACGAGCTTGCAAACCACGTTTTTCGCGCTGCAGAATATCTCGCTCGGCAGCTGCATCATCAACATCTGTTCTGAGACTTCGGACTTGTGCCAATAGAGACACAAGCTTGCCTTGAGCTTCATTATGGGCACTGACAGCTTCATCCCGTGACACATTAAGATCTGAGAGAGTGGCTTCAAGGCGAGCTTTCTCTTTGGACCATGTTGAACTGTTGAGAACTTCATCATCCCACTTCGATCGAAGCTGATCCAATTCTTCCCGAAGTCTTGTGTTCTCAGCTTGCTTGAATAATTTTTCCTCACGAGCAACATCCATTTCATTCGTGAGGGTGGCAAACTCGGCTTGATACTTCTTTCTTGTCTGCTCCATACTAGATTCTTTGTCTTCGATCTCCATGGCCCGTTGGCTTCGATAATCCTCAAGCTCGTGCTGTAATCGTTTTCTTGCTTGGACGGCGGCATCGAGATCAGATGAAAGATCTTCGAGCTTTTCTTCGTAATGTTGGTTTTGGTTTTGGAGATCCTCGATAGTTTCATCCATATATTTTCGCTCTGACATAATCTCCGCGCATGTATCTTCTGCCTCTTTTGCTTGAGACCTGGCAAATTGTTCGGCCCGAGAGGCTTTCAACACTGCGATTTCCGCCTGTTCGAGTTTGCTAAAGTATTCGTCTGCCCTGCTCTTGTAGAGACTTAGACTTGAACTGACATCAGCCAATTTTGAAGATTCGGCATCCAACCGAATTTGAAGGTCGGCAAATTCTTGCAAAAGTTGATTTCGACTCGCGCCATCCTGATCTCTCTGCAGATTCATATCCTCAAGATCAGACTTCGCATCTCGGAGATCGACTTCCAGAACTGCACGAGTGTGTTTCAGAATCTCGAAATTTTTCTTTGTATCATTAAGATCAACTAACGCATCTTTGTGGGCGTACATCAAGATTCGTCGGTTCTCTTCTTGATTGTTGATGAGCTCGAACAATTCCTCGTGAGATTTGGCTTGAACATCCCGAAACGTTAACTCTCCAGTCTGGATACTCTTTTCAAGGGCGGAAACTTTCTTTGCAGAATCATCAAGCATTTCATGGAGTCGACTATTGGCTTGCTCTAGCTTGTGCACACGACGTACTGATGGGCTATCCTCGAAAATATCCCGCCCCGGAGTAGAACGCTCAAGCTGACTCTGGAGATGTCGATTCTCCATTTGCGATAGCTGCAATTGGTTTTGCAGTTCTTCTACGTCAGCCTTCAGATCCATGCGATTATTAAAACTCAAAAGATCAGCAGTACGGTCCGAACGTGCGGAATCATGAGCAAGGTCTCCTGAGCTTGGAAAGCGTCGATTAGGTGTAGTCGCGCTTGATTGAGGTCTACCGTTGAGCTTGTTTCTAATCCGCGTCGGCGAAATATTTCGAGCTCCCTCATTGGCGTCAATCTCTTCAAGCTTAGGCCTACCGGGCGTTTGCCACTCTGGCGGATCACCAAATTCATCCTCATATCGTCTTCGTAGTTCAAGTACTTGTGCTTCGGCATTAGATCTACCGGCAGCTTGAACTCTCAGATTTTGCTGAAGTTCTTCAAGTTTCTGGGTGAGTTGTGAGATAAGGTTTGGGTTTTCGGAAGAGCTCCTGTCGGCACTACCATCAAATTGTGTCACCGGCGGTGCAGGCATTTCCGGATCCACAATTTTCATCAATTCGATGATATCTTTATCTCGGGTATCAATTAAAGACTGAAGTTGTCGGTTCTTAGTTTGAGCCTGAGAGTGAAGTTGCCGTTCATCTTCCAACTTGCGATTTGCTTCTGCCAGCTGAGTGGTCACAGTAGAAGATGTCTTTTCAGCGTTTCTGCTACTCATGTGCTCGCGTTCAACTTCGCGCGTCAGATCCTCAAGATTTAGCTCCAACTTCTCCTTCTGTTTTTGAAGGGTTGTGAGTTGAATTTGTGTGTCACCCAGCTGTTTATTAAGCTTCTTGTTTTGCTCATCGACCTTTGTTCTTTCGCGTTGGGCAGCAATTAGCTGACCTCTGGATGATTCGTTTGCTCTAGAGCTCGTGCGGGCGATCTCGAGACCTTTTTGTTGAAGCTTGTTGAGTAATGCACGGTTGTCATTTTCCGACGCATTCAGTCGACTTCGAACAGTGTTGAGTTCACGCTCAAGTCGTTCTTTTTCCTGGTCAACTCTAAGACCGAAGTCACCAGACTCTATCATAACTTTGTTGAGATCTTCAACTTGCTGATTTAGTCGGCTACATTCCGTTTCGAAATACTTCGCTCGATTTTGTTCTGCTTCAAGGTCCTTTTTCAAACTAGATTCTCGCTCCCGAGCCAAACGTGATGCATTACGGTCTCCGACTAGTTCAGCTTGTATTCTAGCTTCTTCAGCTACAATCTTTGCTTCTCTGAGTTTTCTAATTTCGTTTCGCGCTTCGTTACGTTCCTTTTCAGCCGAGACTCTATTCTCCATCGCCCTCCTCAGAGTGTCTTGCTGGACGTATAACTCCTTTTCGATAATGATCTTGGCTTCATTCAGTTCTTGAAACTTCTCGCTGAGCTCTCGAAATTTATGTTCCGCGAGGAGTTGAACATCATCTCGAGATTGTCGTTCTTTGCTAAGGTCTTTCTGCACATCTGATAACTGTTGTTTCAGAGTCGAGATTTGTTCTTCCAGCCTCTTTCGATTCTGCTCAGCGTGAGCATCCTCTGTCAACCTAGCATCGAAAAGCTTTTTTGCGTCGGCAGCTTCCTTTTGTAGATTGACTTGCTGGGACTTCATAGCGAACATTTCAGCCTGGACTTCTTTCAATCGGTTAGCAATATTTTCTTTGTCGGCTGACAGTGATCGCTTTTGCTCATCGAAGCTCTTCTTCTCGGCCTCGTATTTACGGTTATCAGACCGAAGAATGGCCAACTCGCTTTCTTTGCGTCTGACGAGATCTTCATATCCTGTCGATGTTGCAGACAAATCGGACAACTGTTTTTGTACTTTGCGGTGCTCGCTGGCAAGGTTGCTTTCCCTCAGTTTCGATACTTGAAGGTCTTTTGTCGCGGTGGCTATTTTGACTTCCGAATCTTGATCAATCTTAAGAAGTTTTGCCTCAAGGTCATGAACCTTTCTGTCTTTTATACTTAACTGACTTTGAAGTAGTTGTACATCCTGGGCGAGCTGTGCTTCTTGCGCGCTTCGATCTGCCTGCTTCTTGGCAAGATCTTGTAATTGATCGTCTAGATTAGCCAGCTGCTCAGCAAGGTCTCGCTTTTCGCTCTCCAGCTTAGCAATGATGTGCCCTGCTTGCTCTAACTGAGATCGATACTCATCGGATTGATATTCAGCCCGCTTTTTGGCTTCCAACAAGTCATCCAGTTGATCCTCGAGCTTCTCTTGGTCTTCAATGGCACCAGCCAATTTATCGCTCAATTCTGCCTCACGAAGCTGCAGACGCTTAAAGATCTCTTCCTTGTCCAAGGCTAAAGCTCGCTCGCTCTCCAAGGTTTGTTGAATCTTCACCATCTCGGTGTGGGTGTTTCGTCGTTCCTCATCCAGTCTCTGGCGTTCGGCCGCCTCTTGATCCATTTTTTCGCTGAGCTGTTTGATCATTTCATCTCTCTTCTTGAGTTCTCCCGATGTCCTGGTAGCACCCAACAACGGCTTCATCTTAACCAAGAGACGCCACCAAGGGTTCTCACAAAGATCTATGTAGACCTGAAAATTTCGTTGTATGATTCGCGTTGCCTCCGCTCTATAGAGTCGCTTATTGGCAATTCGTCTTTGTGTAAAACCGCGAGCCATGGATTGAAATCGAGTCATAATCTCACGGATTAAGGCATCACGTTGCTCTTCAAGCTCTGCCAATACACCGGCACGGAAGAAGACCTTGGTGATTCCGACACGGAACAATGACTTGTCCAATTGGAGCTTATCTAACATCATGCTAGCTGCTGTCTGACCATCGAGGTACCCCTTCGGCATGTTTCGGCATAAAACTTCGTACCTTTGTCGAAACTCCGAGAAATGAAGTCTGTTTGGGAATCCAGTGCGTGCAATTCTAATACCTTCCAAAACACCGTTACAACGCAACTGGTCAAGTACAAGTGGCGCACTAAGTTGTTTTGGCTTCTTCTTGTGATTGGGAATGATACATCTCACAAAGTGGGGATGCGTTAGATGCAGCTGGGCCATCAAGCTGGATAGCTGTTCTTTATGTCTTTGAGCGACCGTACGGAAAAGACCTTTTTTTACCCTACTTCGGATGGCACCAGAATCATCGCCTGCCTCCAAGCAATCGCTAAAGAGGTTTGCGACATGGGTATCGCTCGATGCAGCCAACAATCTCGTGATGTTATCATTCATAGGATCTTTGTTCTTCTCCAGCCATCCTTCGGTCGAATATTCAACTTCGGCGGCATAATGAGTGAGCATGAATCCTTGCCCAAGCCGAGAGGCTCGATACTTTGGAGTTTTGCGGTCCCAAAGAGAATGAAGTTTTTCCGTAAATGATTTATCCGTGGCTTTTGGCATGACACAATCTTCATCGAGACACGAGAAAATACCGATAGGATTAGGCAACTCGATCAGGTCAATCGTGGGCTGAAGATCGTGACCGAAATCAATAAATTTCCATTCAATTTTCTCACGGGCGTATTCTTCTTGTTCAAGGACAAACATGTGGTGGTTGAAAAATTGCTGGAGTTTCTCGTTGGTGTAGTTGATGCAGAGTTGCTCAAAACTGTTTTCTTCGAATATTTCGAATCCAGCAATATCCAGTACTCCGATGAAGTGAGAATCATCGAGACCCATACCAGTCCTGTCTAATTGGCGATTAATTCGGGTCACTAGATCACCAAACCCTCGTTCGTAGATGCCTTTTGCCAACGAATCTATTGCAAGTAAAACTTGTTCGGGAGTCTGCACTTTTTCGACCCATTCCCTTCCGGCTTTCACGCGAGGGTGTAACAGACCTTTCAAGAATGGTTCGAGTGGAATGCCAAGTAATCTGCACACTTTGTCTGCCTGTGCACGTGCGTCTGGGGTCAATCGAGCTTGATCTGCCGATCTACTCTCCTTCACGACAGTTATGTTGCCCAGGTGTAGAACAGCAGCGACCGTTCGTAATATGGATACTTGATCTTTTTCGGAAAATCCCATAACGTTGAATGCCTCTACTAAGGAAACCCATTCGTCTCTGTCAGAGACACCAACGATGGTGTCGTGACCATCCCTTGTATAAGCGAAATCCTCCACATCTAAACCTTCAATCAGAAATTTCTGCTTTAACGCGCGATCGGCTCCCTTCAAGAGCTGATAAAAGACGTGATAGTTTCGCTCATGCGCATTCAACCTTACCACTCTTGACTTCTCGAGAAGGTACCAATCTATGAAAGCACCGGCAATACTGCCGTTGCGCGTAAATTCGATACGGATGAATTTTCCAAAACGGGAGGAATTGTGGTTCCTGACTGTCTGCGCATTTCCGAAGGCTTCCAAGATTGGATTGGCACGAAGGATCTGCTGCGAAAGAGTTGAATGCTGTACTTTGTTCTTGACTGGCGACTCCGAGTTTGCAACAGCCGCAAGATATTGTATGACCTTTTTGGTGTTTTCAGTCTTTCCAGCTCCAGATTCTCCAGTCACAAGAATACTTTGGTTCTCTCCTTCTTCAACCAAATTTCTAAATGCCTCATCTGCCATTGCGAATATGTGTGGTTTAGTCTCCTCCCGACTCTGTCCCTTGTACATGTTTATGTATTCATTCGTGTATATAGGTAAAGAGCAATATGGGTTGATAGTGACCAGAAACAAGCCGGAGTAGGTGTAGATAAGATCAGCTTGATATCTCATATGAAGATTATGGACAACGGATGCCTCATTTAGATGTGTGAGCTCAGCCATATCATTTGCTTTGTCGAATTTCGCAGGGTTTACTTTGTCAACAGTCTCGGCATCAACCTCTCGTTGCTAAACACCCTGTTAGTCTTGTTACTCGAAGAGAAAGTACATTGACGATGACTTACACTCCCATCGTCACATTGGACCAGTATGTGATTATTTTCCAATTCCTCTACTATCCAACCCTTCACGAATGCTGTTTGAGCATCTTTCAGCCAAACATATCTTTTTCCCGAAAAATCATTGTCTCCCTCCATTGCTTTCACAGTCTCTGCACCGAGTCGCATCTCTTCCAGCTTGATGAATGAAGGTGCAAATGTATTTGAGGAGGGGGCACTCGTTTTCGAATTGGACCGAAATCGTAGCGAAACATTATTATTATTATTAATAGGTGCCACGATATTTCCAAGTGAGGAGTAGGATTGATGTCGATTGTGTGTTTGAAGACTTTGTGCGGGTAAAGAGGAGGGAGGAGATGCAAAAATTGCACTTTTCGGTCTGCCTTTTGGAATACCTGGTTCGGGAGATAAGGTTCCTGACCTAGCAAATGGATTATTGCGCTTGGTTTGAAGATTGGATGCCATGGTGAGTTGTTGAAGCTCAAATGATCTAATCAAGGCTACTAGGTATATGCGTTATGAAAGTAAACAAAGTCCATCTAGGGGAAATATGTGATGAACTCAAAGTTGTCGCAAAGAGGAAAGATATCAGAAAAGCTCATGCGATGTTATGTCAATCATTACATATGAAAGTATGAAATATGGTAAGTCGAATGGTTCATTATTCTCTTTTGTTTCCTTTTTGTCTTTTGAGTTGAAGAATCTTGTCAACATTGAAGTGCGGATGCGGATGTGAAGACGCGGATCAACCAAGTCGTAGTAATTCAATATTGTCAACAAAAAATCAATTGGCTTTAGTTGAACGGAAGAGTTTCCCCTGGCAACGCCGATAAGATGCTAAGATGCTAAGATGTCGCCGCTTAATAAAGTTAATATCATATCGATAAGAGATGTCATGACTGATTTAAAGCAGCGGCCATCCCGTGACATACCTATACCGGTACTACTGATAGCGGCAATTACCGGCACTAAGAAGCTTCGAATTATTCTGCGGGCGTTTTGGCGGTACAGGTTTCTTTCCACCCCCCATCGATCTTACCCAGATCTTCTTCTATCCTGATTCATCAAGACAAAGTCAACAATAGTTAGGAAAGTGACAGTATCATATCTTCTATTGTTAGATTTTGAAAAAATCCTTTCTTCTAGCTTATTGCGACACCCTTTTCCCTGCGGCTTTCTATCTGTAATTACTTTTCCTTTGATCTGGTTGAGTTGTACATATGATACTCGACCGTTAAATTGAGCGCGTCTTCGAGGTAATCTTGTGGTATCAGAACTAATTACAGCTAAAAGTTTCTCAATTCAATTCAAATCAATCAGTAAAGCTACTGCTGTACGTACCTGCCGACAATGTCGGATTACCCATATTATGGCGCGACTTATGGTAGTCGTGACCAAACGAACAACCCACCATACCCAACCTATCCAACACAGGCCCCATACTATCAGCAAGATGATGGTCACTCAGGTCAGCATGCGATGACCCAGGGCTATGATAATACAATGGCATATGGTTACAATCAACAACTGCCAAACTACAGCGCGCCCGCTATGCAGAATAACATCCCCCAAGTCCCAGTCTTCCAGGGCTGGAATCAAGAAAATTCATCCATGCCCCAGTATAGTGCAATGCCACAGGGCATGCAATCTTATGCAGGGTACAATCATCAAAATTATGCTCAAAATTCACAGTACTATGCTCCAGTGGCAGTCCCACAGCCAACTTATCATTCTCAAACACCCGTGTATGGTAATACTGGAGATCGCGAAATGAGTGAAGGAGAATATGATGATACTTCTGCCCATATGCATACAGCACCTCCAAGTACTTCAGTTGGAGCACCAGGTACGAGCCACTATCGTGGAAATGATGGAAATGGCTATCTTGATACTGCCCATCGCGCTGTCTATCCAGCGAGCCAAGATCCTACTCCTCAACAGCCGCCTAATCTTCGTAATGGTAAGTTATTTCAGCCTCTCTTGATTTCATCTATTGACATCTCGGTTCAAGCAGCCGACTACTACACCCGAAGTCAACCCTCAGACTCCTACTCTCCTTTCGTCCCCCAAAGTGAGCCAGTGTTTGACCAAGCCAAGAATACTCAGAACAAAGGTACAGGCGCAGGCAAGGAAGCATCAAAACACAATAAAAAAGGAAGTGCACAGAAAAAGGAAAAGACTCGTACTCCAGTAGAAGAGTCTACCGATACTGCATCGAAATTTGGACAGGAAAGTCTCCCGTCTTCTTCCAAGGCCTCGGCATCACGCACTGCTCAAGCAGATGCCCGTGACGATACTGTCACTTTCAAAAGTGTGGGTGAGGCTCGTAAGAAAGCTGAGGGTGCAATATTGAATCTTTGGACGTATGATGTCCGCTTTCCGGCCTATATTGAAGAAGGCGTTGATGAGAAACTTGTTGGGGAATTGTTTGATGAGCTCAGGCTATCAAAAACTGCATCAAAGACCGTCAGCGCAACTTCTGCTCAAAGTCCTTCCACAAGTATTTCTTCTGCACCTACTTCAACCCTTCCTGTCACTAGTGGTCAGTCGAATGGCCAGGCGCCTGCTCAGAACTCTGCAGCAGACAAGCATAAGCAAGCTGTGATTAATACAGCAGTACCTGCGCTTTCCACAACTACCCAGCAAACGAAGAGTGCAGCTGCTGTCGAGAAAGAAAAAACAATGCAGGCTAAGATGGACGCACTCCGAAAATCGAGAGCCGAGCGGGCGCAGAAGAACGCAGCAAAATCTAGTACCTCTACCATCCTCTCAATTCCCCTCCTTCCAATCAAGCCAGCCGCTATTCTTGGATTCCCTAGTTCAGGTTCAATTCCCACTTCGTCTACGGAAAAGATTGCCGAAAAAGACAAGGTTGGTAGTACGGTCGTAAGTAGCGCGATTCAAGCTCCAGCATTGACTGTCGCGACACAATTGTCCAAGTCTGACGCATCACCTTCAACAATTCAACAATCCTCCCAGAAGATTCCGGGTCTTTTTTTGGCTGCTGCCACACTTGCCCCACCATTCGCACAAAATCTCACCATGCCGACCCCGGCTACTAATGGACAGCGCAAACGCCCAGTGGCTGCTGACTTTGATGGACCTGCAACATCCTCCATGCCATTCAAGCGACCGTTTGGTCACAGTCGTACTGAACAAAAATCTTTCGTCATTTGTGTCAGCGAAGACGAGGATGAGTCTGATGAAGATGTGGAAATGGAGTTGGAATCCCAGGCTGATGCTGATTCACCTGTCCAGCCCAGTCGAAAGCTATCTGATCAAAGGGCATTGCCTACATCATCTTCCTTTCTTCCACCGAAGCCGTTTACGCCTCCTCCCATATCGTCTGCGAGCACCCTGCCGGCATTGCAAACTTCTATCAAGCCACACCCTGAGGATCTCCGACGGAAGGAAAGCGAGATCGAGCAGTTAAAGAGAAAGATCGCTGAAGCTGAGATGAGAAAGGCAAATAAGAGAAGTGGTAGCGGGGTTCAAACTCCTGTCAGAGCTGACACCAGCATTACAACTAGCAGCAGCAACATTGGTGTTGTGGCCAACAAAGCTGATTCTTCAACCGAAATACAGAAGGCAATCGACATTGCTAAGGATAAGCTAAATTCCAACCAACAACAGCTAGCTGCGGCTCAAGCTGCTGAGCTTCAGAAAGCTGCTGAAATTCGGAAGGAAGAGGCTGAAACCAAACGACTGCGACGTGAAAGAATCGCTAGCGCCATTCCTCGTGTTGATGCTGAGGCTTTACAAAATCAATCAAAACTTGAGGAACTTCGTGCCGAAACTGCCAGAATCGAAGCTGCAATGCAGAAAAACCTTCAAGACAAGCAAAAATTGTTAGAGGAAATGGAAAGATTGGGCCAAGAAACCGATCAACAATTGCAGGAGCAAAAAGAAAAGTTGGACAGTCTCACTCGTGAAGAGACGAAAGACAATACATGTAAGTTCATGATCACGGATGCCCCGTTAATCATAGTACCAACAGCTCACATTCTCTTAGCTCAACCACGTCCAGTTTCTGCTCAGCCAGACCGTGAGCCTGAGCCGCAAAATTCCACCGAGTCCGTATCGAAGTCTGCATCCGTTCCCATGGAACTCGATGAGCAAGTCGATGACGCTCGCGACGCAGTGCAACAACAGTCTGAGCAACCGTATATTGCTGATGTTGATGCTGCTTCCCCTATCCCTGTTAATCCCATTCAGATTAATAGCAACAGCGATGCAACGCAAGAAATCCCCGAAGGGCGTCCTTCCGAGGTCAAAGAAAATTCTAAAACAAATCAAGATCTTGAGGCAGCACTTCAAGAAGCTGTGCGGGCGGACGCAGACTCTGCTAGTCCCTGTGATATCGAAATGGAAGACGGCAATGCTGAACCGGTACAAATCGCCGAAGCCATCGCCAAAGCTGGTGAACAGAAAGCAAGCTCCGATTATTCACCAGTTCTTGAGCGTTCCCAGCCACTTGTACCTTCACCAATTCCCGATACTCCTGAAGTAACAGGGCTCTCGGAGGTTGCTGACGTCGAATCGGATAACTATGAGCCTCCGGAAGCCACGCCTCCTGTAGATGAGACTTTGTCGATTGATTCCCCTCCGTTCAGCCCGGCCCCACCAGATTCGGTCATTGATGAACCCGAAGATATCGAATTTGAGGAGATATCGAACGGTAACCCGGACGATGTTAAAGCTATCTCTAACGGTGCAGAACAACTTCTACCAGTAAAAAACGGTAGCGTCCTTCAACTAACAAAAGTAAAAAAAAATCCATTTTTGGTGAAAATCCATAAACTGACGCATGAGTCTAGGAACCAGTTTCCAACGAGGCTAAGAGCTCAAGCTTCTTCTCGCCATATGAAAGTCCCCTGAAATTATTTCATGCATTTCGGTTTCATGCGCAATATAAGCAACAAATTCCAGGCGGGTTAAAGTCTATGACTTATACTAACAAAATTGATGCGAAGAAAGAATTGTGTCGATACGAATTGATGGGAGGAATTTGCAATGACAATACTTGCGAATTTCAGCATTTTAGAGAAATGGGACTGCCTGGTGCGTCGGTAGTTCCAGCCAGCATAATCTGAGCTCATCCTTGAGTATCCCTTTCGTCCCCTTGGCTAACTTTTATTTCGACAGATGACGCGGTTCTTACAGAATTAGGCTCCCCAGACGAGTTTGAAGGAGAATACCGAGAAAAGTTCATTGAAGGTTTGAAAACAGTACTTTCGGGCCTGCGAGCAAGAAAAATCAAGGATTTTGATGCCATTGCCTCGGAGATTATTGCACATCGTGCCAACTTCTTAGGCGATTCGTCAAAGGTACTAAGCCTCGAAGGCACGACAATCTAAAGCGACTCCCCTACAGCGGTCTGGACCCTGAACTTGTAAATTTCTCACCCACCTTCCCATCACTTTTTGTTACCAGAGACCTGATCAGGCTTGGTATCAATGCTAAATAATCTTCTTTTTGTTGATGTGAATGCCGACGATGGCAATGTTTCACGTTTGTTGGACTATTTATTTTCATCATCTTTCCTCTTTCCAGATATCAATATCAATGGAGAACGACTTTGCATGGATGGAGTTGCATGGCAAAGCTGATGTTTTGTGGAATATCTACGATACCCCCGTCTGATGAAATAAGGAGACCTGGAGGAGTGCGTCCAGTGGGTGCAGCCAGTGTGTAAATTGGAATTATATTCCCTTTTCACACTGAATAATAATGCTCGGGATAATTATCCTACGAAATAGCTAGTTTATAGCATAATAATTGACTCTGTGCTTTCTTTTTGAGAATTATTCTATCATGAACTTGATGTGATGTGATAGGCGATAAAAAGCTATGTATAATATGACTTTTCGATGTGACTTTTTGACTTTTCTCCATATAAAAGAATGTACTTGAGTACTTCTAATGAAAACCCCATAACCCCACTACTACAACAACCCCACTACGATCAACATATGCAACTACCAAAAGAGGCGAAACCCTTAGATCAAATATCACGACATCCAAGCCAGAACTTCATCATTGCGCTAAAGTATCAATTTTGTCCCAATGGTAAGCAAAATGATTCAATACCACTTGAAGATAAAGAGTCCTGAGTACAAGAATAACATGAACCTATGGAGTACATGTGGCTCGAGGGACCATTATACATGTCTGCTACCTTGCAGACCTTGCAAGATCTCGGTTTCTCATTTCGATGTGATTGTCTCCATTTTCATGCAATCTACCTGCTAGCAAGACGCTATATGACTTTTTTCATATGAAGTGGGAGATGATATAAGTATATCTTTGCACCCTCGTTCTCTAGATTCTTTTGAAAGGTTTTTGTTTCGATTTCGATTTTGGTTTTCGAAAGTTGTGGTGTTGTGTTATACTACTGTACATCCAGTTGATTGATTGCTACTTGAAGAATGTCGCAGACGACGCCGACATCACAATCACAATCACAATCACAGGCTTTGGATGATGAGAAAATTGCAGTCGAGGAGGATGGAAATGGTGGCGATTTGAGTGGAAATGGAAGTGCGTTTGGGATTGGAAAGGGAAATGGTGATGAGAGTGAAGTTTCTGATGGATCGTTTGCGAATCCGACGGGGATAAATGAGAAGGCTTTGGTGAGAAAGTTAGACTGGAAGTTGTTGCCTCCATTGACGTTACTTTATTTGTTGAGTTTTTTGGATAGGAGTAATAGTATGTTATCTTTCCATCTCCTTATTTCAATTTTACAATTTGTTTGGGGAATGGCAATTCGAATACTACTAACCATCATCTAAAAAAAATAGTCGGGAATGCGAAACTAGATGGATTGACTACCAGTTTACACATCACCGGAAATCAGTATCTATTGACATTGACAATCTATTTCATCGGATACGTCCTCTTCGAAGTTCCCTGCAACATCATACTCAAGCGCACAACACCCAAAATATGGCTTCCAACACTTATGCTTCTCTGGGGAATCGTCGCTACGTTGATGGGAATCTCTTCAACCTATGCGGGATTCCTAGCTGCGAGATTCTTTTTGGGTGTTACAGAAAGTGGATTGTTTCCTGGGGTGGTGTTTTACTTGTCAATGTGGTATAAGAGGACGGAAACACATTATCGTGTTGCCTTGTTCTTTTCTGCGGCTTCATTAGCGGGTGCTTTTGGAGGTATCTTGGCTTATGGGATTGGGTTTATGAATGATGTGGGAGGATTGGAAGGGTGGAGGTGGATTTTTATTATTGTAGGGATATGCCATCACTTAAACCTGGATGCAGTTATGCTAACAAATATAACAGGAAGGACTTCTTACCGTCGTTGTTTCTCTCTTTGCCTACCTCTTCATCCACAATTACCCCTCCACTGCCCCCTTCCTCACCGAACCCGAACGCTCTTTCGTCCACGCCCGTCTCAAATCCTCCACTGACGCAACCAACACCGAACCTTTCGACTGGGCCAACGTCCGCGCCGCCTTTGTTGATTACAAATGCTGGCTCTACAGTCTCGGCTTCCACACCATGTCCCTACCCCTCTACACCCTCTCTCTCTTCTTCCCCACCATCATCTCCGCCCTCGGTTACAAATCCGCTACAGCCCAATTACTCACCGTACCCCCTTACGCCTTCGCCACCATCCTCACCATCATCATCGCCATCCTCTCTGAAAAAACCCACAAACGCGCCCCCTTCATTCTTCTCTCCACCTCCTTCGCCATCATCGGCTACATCATCCTACTCACAACCCCGCACTCCCACCCCGGTATCTCCTACCTCGGCACCTTCTTCGCAGCCGGCGGCATCTATCCCAGTACCGCCATCGTGCTCTCCTGGCCCGCAGCAAACGTCAGCGGCCAAACCAAGCGCGCAACGGCTACAGCAATGACGATCACGATAGGTAATCTAGGAGCAGTGCTCGGAACGCAGCTGTATCGCCCATCAACGAGTCCAAGGTGGTTTTTGGGCCATGGCTTTGCGTTGGGTTATCTAGTGGCGAATCTGGGGGTGGTGGCGACGCTGTGGTATTGTTTGGAGAGGGAAAATAGGGTTAAGAAGAGGAGGGAGGAGAGTGGGGAGGTGGGGGAGGAGGTCTTGAGGAATGATGGGGATGTCGGGTGGGTTTTTCAGACTTGAGGCGGGTTTTGGGGTGTATGTGTGGAGCGTAGTTGCTTGGTGTTCGGTTGGGAATGGACTAGACACGGGTCTTGTCCTTTTGTTTTTGCGATTATATTGTTATTATACCTTGTATTGTCGTGAGATTATTACTGTATACCGGTACCGTAATACCTCCTCTAGTACAAATATTGAATTTCAACTGAAACAGTTTTGTTCAGATATAATTGGAATACTGAAAATACGTTGATGAAATTGTAGTTTAATTGAAATATTGATATACAATGTGTAGATCCTTCCGCCCGCCCTTCAAGTTCCCCCTATTCGCTTAGGTTGAGGTAATTCAGTAGGATGAAAGAAACAAATTATAAGAAGCCCGTGCACACTCAATATATCTGGAAATTTGAATGATCAATGAATTGCAAATGAAATATCGAGATCTGAATCGTTTAGAGTAGATTTGTTTCCTCTTTAATCCAAATATATCATACATTACTCGAGTAGTTGAAGAGATGCTGTGTTTTATCTAAAGATTCCGCACTACAGGACCACGTAATACCTGTAGTGATAGAGAAGAATATAAACTAGACAGGTACAATTTCGTCAGAGGTATTCAGTCATCGTTCTTTCTCTGCTCACGAGGAAACTGGCGCGATGATATGGTCTCAGCTGCCCGAAATTGATGTCGTGATGCCTTCCTTACCTTCTTTCTTCATGCCCTGGAGGACTACTTTATAAGAACATGACGAGAAACGTAAAGACTTAATGGATTATCTCGATGGTGGATCTTCAAGAAAGAAGTAGTTAGAGGGTTATTGAGGTATCGATAAATCGACCTGATTGAAAAACATAAATGCCGTCAGCCGATTCGATGGAACAGAATCAAGAAACTTACTCGAGTAATTGCAAGATTTTTGTGTGTAATTTAATTAGTGAGAACATCAAATCGAAGGACTGTGATAAATCATAACTGTATTCGACGATGATCCGCCGCCATGCTCTTGAAATTGTGGACAGCGTTTCTGTTCTACTGAAGCTGAAGCTCCCATTAGTCGACAAATTAGGAAATATGCGTCCTAATGTTTACTTATGACACCAGTCGACCCACAAAACTATTGCGGTTCACTAATATATATGGGGAGCATCAAATAATGGCAAGAAATTGCCTCGCTTATGCTTACCATTGCTTTAACAAAGATGGCGTTTTCTTTGGGAGAGTATTGCTTCGACTCTTGGTCTTGAGATAAGTTATAAGCATTACTGAACTTACTGAGTGACGAGAAACGAGCAGCTCCCTAGCTGCAGCTGGACTACAGCCTCTTTCGGGCGAAGTGATGCGGAGGCTGACGGTGCGTATTATCAATGCTTCGTAATGATATTGCATACAAAAGGCTTGATAGCATCATATCTACTGACCTACCGATCGGTTGTTTAGCAAGATGGCCATCATAGACTTTGGATCTAGGGGACTTGGAAAGAGTAGTCGTATATGACGCTTAACACGGTTCGTACGACGCTGGGGGCGAAAAGGTTTTCGGCAATCACCCGTTCACTTTCTCCATCGACCTTCAAATGTTAAAAGTATGGGGGTTGCCATTGGCTGCTGTAGATGTGATTATCCACATGTTTGGATAATCACATATTTCAGATGCACGAAGCATATCAAGCTTGTAAACACCAAGGACAGGCGTTACGGCTCGTGTAGACCAAATATGGAAGTGCACGCGAATCACTTCGGGTCAAGCTCAGGGTTGAATGGGGGTGGCTAGCTGAATGCTCGAAAATTATTTACAGAATAATTATCGGGCTCAGAAACCCAGACGCTCAGTTTTAAGGAAGCTAAGGGCTACTTTAGGTGTTTGTTTTCTCCTATTTGCTGTCAAATATTCAGTGATTTACTTTCCGTTACAAAAAAGCAGGTTTATTTTTAGGATACACCAAACTCGTTCATATTAGTTCAAATTATCGAAAAGGAAGTAAAACCCTTGAGATATGGCTTTCAGTATTGTCATCATTAGTAATTCAACTAAACAGCTACTCAACTGAATTGAGTGGCTATCCAAGCGAAAGTAGGGATAGCTTCAGAAAGTTACATACTTCATACCTTTCTCAAGCCAAATTCATTCTTGTTACAAAAGGATCTTTCGAAAGACCCTTTTACGATTCAGCTGTTGGTGCTAGATAAATGGGTGAACCGAAGATATACTTGTAGGCCAGATTGCTCCAAAGGTCATCCTGCCACTCTCCTCTGCTTTGAACTTGATGCACTAACCCCAACAGCAATCGTATCAGACTACTCTATACCTAAAGACTCTCAATTTCAGTACGCGATCGTGATCCCACGTTTAGATTTCTCGAGGTTCCCTCATTTTTGGTAAGGGCCCAGTATTAGAGGGTAATATTAGATTTCTAGACTTTTCAAACCCTTATTTGCAGGGGGGACCATGGCTTATAATCATCTATAAAGAAGCCATATTTTCAACGTGAAAATCTGCCAAGGGGATTGTATAATGGAATCTGTCCGTTGATATCCCAAGGGAATGATCTAAAGAGAACAGATCTTGTAATAGAAAAGCCAAAATTCCGTAGCGGAAAATGTCATCCAAGGTAACCCCAACCCTAACCCTACTACCCAGCCAATAGAAGTCCAATGTCTAATAGCAATTTATACAACAAATATCTAATGTTCGAGAGTGAGCTTTACAATCCACATGAAATAATCGAAATAACATCGAAACAGGAGTAATTTGGACTTAACACCCGAAGACAAGTACTTAAAAAAATCATCTGATCCGTCTCAAAATAATCAAGGACTTAGGATCAACATTTCTTTTGTATGCCTCTTCTACTATAATGTTGCAATAAACAGGTGATGACCGACTCAAACAGTCTTTATGCACTTGCTGGAAAACTAATATTGTAGTGAATCAAGCTGACGGCTTGATTAGAATGTTTATTGATGGCAACATCAGCTAATTTGGAGTGAAGGAGTGGATTGGAAGGTCAAGGCTGATGTTATGTAGAAGTGTTGGTTGCTGGTAAGGGAGGTAAAGGATATGCATTTGAGAAGAGGATGGACGGAGGGATATAGAGTCAAGGAGTTGGTGGGCAAAATAAACTACCAAATCACACTACAATAGAAGACGTCAAATGATAATGAAGAATGCTGTATTATTATTGCTTCATAGGACTTGAAATATCTCTCAAGATATCGAAGTCAGCGCCATCATGTACAACCAATGAGCCATTGATCAAATTACCGCACGAAACAAAGCATTGCCTATCCCATAAACCCCAATCGCCTTTACCATTCTGTGTACCGCACTACCACCGTTACATCAACTAATCTCTGGGCGGGATATTGATATATTCGAATTTACAAAAGAGCAGATCCCCCTGGCCCCACAACAAAAGACCAGGGGTATTACCCTGGAGCTCAACACTGTTTTTCCACCTGCAAGTCACTCGTATCAGTATGAGATCCATAAACCTAGCATTCGCAGAAAGAACTTACCCATCGATACACCATTTGTTGTCGGTGGTTTGTGCAGTGAAGACGACATTTTCCCAGCGAACGGTGCCAAAGTCCCAAGCAGCACCAGACTGCAGACCGACATGGATGCTGGCCTGTAATATCAGTCAGTCATGTGTGATATATTGTAGAATGATAGAGCTGGATTCAACTTACGACATTCAACTTGCCAGCGTTGGGAGCGATTTGTTCTTATTCCAAATTAGCGTGGCTGATGTAGGAATTTGGAAGTTCACTCACGGAAATTCTGCTCTGAATAGGTAGTTCTCTCTCCCAGTCCAGCCTTAATGCTGTCGGGTCCAGGGATAATTGTGACAGTAGAGTTTGTCACCTTTGTATTGCCGTTATATTAAAAAACGTTGTGAATTTTATCGCCTGGCAAGATCTTGTTGTCCGTGGCAGTGAAAGAATTTCCACTGTGTCACCCGTTAGCTTGCCCTTGTCGTATTGAAGGTTATGTATACATACTACTGAATATCCACTTCATATTCACCGGCGTTATGGTCGTTGAGGACGTTTTCGTAACCATAGGAATGATCTTGGTTCTTGAGGCCAGCCGAGAAGAAATGGGCGCCGGTCTTAGCAAATGCTGGGACGGTCACTGTACCCTCGAACTGAGGGTGTTTTTCTTTAGCTAGCTTGAACAAGAATTCATGTGGTTGTAGCTGACCTTAGTCATAGCGATATCAGCACCAGCTTGGAAGAATAAATCGTAATTCGTCGCTGTGACCAAAGCGTTGAGGAGAAGGACGCACAAGGCGATGAGGAACTTGACTTGAGAAGCCATGGTTATTGTGTTACTTTTAGAGATGAAAGGATTCGGGGGAATGTGTTTGAATTGTAGAGTTTGGGTGTTTTGGCCTTTAGGAAATCAAGAACGAGAAGAGGACCTTTTAAGGACAAACTTTAAGCAAGAGAGCGGGACGAAACCAGGTACCGTATCAAGCCACCTCGCCAAGCTACTGGAGTTCGCTTGTTTACCTTCCCCGCAAAGTTACATAAATGGTACGATCTATCCAGTGAATCTCAGGCTAAGTCTGGCCAAATCGCTAAATGGAATAATGTAGTTTAACCAATGGCTGTACTCTGTACCTGTTGATAATGACGTGAAGGCCTGATTTCTTAGACCAAGAAATGTTTGAAAGTTCGATGTGATTCTCCAATGAACAGGGTCTGAACTTTGAGGAAGAGCTCTCCAATGAGATACCCAAAAGAGGTTCACTAAACTCTCATCCCATTCCACCATTGGCATTGACTTTATATTTGCGAGGCCATCGTTAATTAGTGAATCGGACTCGAAAAGAGTGAAGAATACAAAGTACCGAAGCAATCATTCAGGGACCCTACCGCTTGGTGGATTCACCTAAGGTTAGTTTGGAAGAATGAAGCTGACTAGACATGGAATTGGGTATTTGGGAGAATCTCTCTGAGTCATTTTGAATAAAATAATAGTATGCATACCACCTTGTGCTTGACAATCGGAATGGGTGACTTCCAACTAGTTAGACCAATATAGCTATCAGTCCAGGTTGAGGCCAATAAGGTGTTAGAGCATATTTTCTTATTGTCTTCTTTTACTTATAAATTATCTGGGTTGGATATATGCTAGAATGCCATGTTTTCCCGTCAATATTCGACCATCAAGACCTTCTTCAAAGATCCCATTTCCTTCTCCCAAGCCTCAACCTTTCTTTGGCTTGCCGCCAGCTTGTTCAACAGATATTGAATACGAGGGCCAACCTCATGAGACTGCTTAGGTAGTGTCCCGAGCATGACCAATTCATTCTCATATTTATCGATACTCTTCGTCTCAATTTTAGTCAGTTCCGTGAGGACTGCCATGTCAAGTCTGCTCCGCAATACACGATCCTCGCTCAACATTTTGAAAGCCGCTTGGTAGACGGGCTTTCCAGCTTTGATGCTTTGTGGACGACCTTTGTAGGTTTTAATGCTAATCAACTCAGCCGCCGAAAGAGCCTCGAGAACATTTTCTCCATTCGATGCTGATGATGTAAGGGAAGACTTGAATGTATCAGAGAGAAGGACCTGATTGTACCGAAGAGTATCGTTCTCAGCAAGAGCGTTGACCAGATACCATGCTTGCTCAACCGACCATTTTCGATCGCCCTTTTCAGCAGATATCAAATACATCTTTATGATCTCCGAAGCGCTCTGCTCTACAATCTCTGCAACGGCGCGCTTTGGAGTTTGTCCAGTCTTCAATCGACGTGCCAAGAACTCTAGATCAGTCAATCGACCTCCTAGAACTTCGATACACTCATCTAATTCGGAGAGATCTTCTCGACGTTGATTTTCCGAACGCTTCTCTGTCCTGTCTCTAGGGTTCTCTGGGTCGTTTTCTAAATGGCTAATGACGAACTTCTTGGCGACCTGGGGTGTGATATCGCCAAGGGCTATTTGTCTAAAGACTCTATCTGGTAGCGCTTTACTAAGAGACTTCGAGTAAGAAATATCATTGGTGAGGAATATGACATGAGAAATGTTCGAAGTTGTGAGACCAGCTGCCCATTCCGAGATCTTGTCGTAGACTATACTACTCTCTTCGTTCTTGTGGAGAAAATTGTCGATAACGACGACAGGTCTATACTCAGGGTGTGCTTCAAGCCAATCGTCATCTGTCAGAGAAGCATCTTTGTCATCTTTCTTCCGGTTTTGCAGAGCGACCTGTTTGAGTGCAGTCGCTGTGTTTTGCCAGATTTTTGCAAGTTGTGTGTCCAAGGTTTCGGAAAACCCAGATTTTACACCGATTGTGCCCTGTGCTGCCAAATCGATCAAGCTGCTGAAGCTATTCATCCAGGAGAAAACTGGACGATATCCTACCGTAGCAGCCGCTGCAGTAATTGTAGCAGAGTCACCACGGGCTTCTTGTATCGGCTTACAATCTATAAGTAAGGTATTCGGTCGACCTTTAAGCGCTTGATCAATAATTAGTTCTCTTTTGCCGGATCCTCGTGGCCCTTGGACAACGATAAAAGTATCGGCAGTCTCCATAAGCCAAGTTTGTAGATCTTCAATCTCCTGTTTTCTATCGTCCCAAATCGCAATAAGGCTCGCCTCTTCTGCTTTGTGTGTGCGGAAGGAGAAAACATCCTTGGCTTGACTTGCGAACCATGCGTAGATCTTGTTATCTTTGAGACTAAACGCATGATCGATATGAGCCTTAATAAAAAAGGTCCGGATAGGATCAAACACCGCAACAGTCACAGTAGCGATTATTGCAGCCACAGCTGGAATGACAACACGTGGATGACTGGTAAGCCATTCCCTAACATGGTGAGCCTGCATCTTGGCCTCGAATGCTAGTCGAAGTGTGGTGCCGGCCTTTCCACCGCCCAATTCTTCAGTAACTTTTAGCCCGTGCAAGCAGTTTCTAGCCATAATCGAATGTCTGATATTTGCAAAATCTAACATAGCAAACTTTGGTAGCACTTTAGAGTCTGAAGGTTGCGAAGAGATCTCTGCAATTTTACCATACTTTCGGAACAAGCTATATATCGTCTCCTGTGAAAGTTCGGCTACCTCGCCTCCTGGAGTACAAGGGACGAACTCGATACGGATTCGAGTGCTTGGGAATCTGTACAGATCTTCGAGCCAGGGCTTTCCAAGTACCAATTTTGCTCTTATTTGTCGAAAGGGATTGAACCAAGGTTTGATTGGCTTTTCCTTCAAATATCCTGAGATGAGACCTTCAATTTCTTTTGCCGTTATAGTGTGATCGTGTGAGAACTTGACGAATGCACCCCCTTCTTTGAGTCGAGGCAATATCTCGGTTACCTTCAAAGGAACATTGGTGGGTATGGCACGCTTCACTAAGCTCAGAGGGTCGTATTTGGAGAACACCTTATTATTGAATCGATAAAGGATATCTGGAAGATTTGAATCCATTCTTCCGTACCACGGTATTCGAAGAAGCCATCCGAGCTTTATTGGAAAGATGTCTTTGGCAGAACACATCAGCAAGCTGATACGAATCTATAATCTTACGAACGAGAATGAGAGCTCACTATCTAAAAATAGGATTCCCTCATTGGCTCCGGCAGTAATATGCCCACTTTCGTTCTCCCCAATCTGCGAACTTTCTCTCCTCACACCCTTCAGCTTTCCGTTTAAACCACCGTTCTTTAATCCTTTCAGACTAACTCTACTAATGTTCACCGCATTGCCAAAGGCACGCGTCTGATACCTGGGAGGGCGAGGGATCCGCAACGCTGGCACACTCGTAGGGTTAAACAAGCTGCGCCTGTTCATATTTGGCGCGTACCTTTTGAAAGTATATCGTCGTAATCTATCTCAGCATTTATTTAGACAAATAGCCAAAAATGGCAAATAAATTTCGATAGGTGCAGGTCTTGGTTGGAAGAAGGTTATGTTACAACAAACCAAAAGCTAGAAGCAGTGTCGTCATACCTTGGGTAAGGCTGAATTCTAACCTCGTCACGTGATAGAAGATCGGCAGAAGCTTCCCCGGATCAGCGCTCGAATTTTGTTTTCGGGATCCACAAGCTTCAGCCTCATCACTTTCGCATTTCGCAAAGACAAGTCTCCAAGAACAACTTACACAATGGGGTGGTTTTCCTCATCTACTTCCTCTACGGAGAAACCAGCTTCCCCAACTTCAGGAACCTCAGTTCTTCCTCCTACATCTTCCACGCCCACGCCCACGCCCACCCCTCAAACGAAACCTCTTTCCCGCGACGAAATCGCAGATCAAGAATTCAATTCCTTCCTCCGCGAAATCGAAGCCGAGAACCGCCTCGCCAGCACAAAGAGTAACCGCTCATCCCGCGATTCCCCAACAGAATCCTCCCATTATCCCTCCGCCCAAACATCTCCCCGAAATGACCCCTCCGAGCCCCTCTCCACCCAAGTCCTTCCTACAACCATGTCCTGCCGCACCGCTTTTGACGCTGCATTCTATTGCCAATCCTTCGGCGGACAGTTCAATAACTTATATCGATATGGTACTGCGCGAGATTGTGGGGAGTCATGGTCGGACTTCTGGTTTTGTATGAAAACAAGAACATATGCCGACAATGAGAAGGCTAAAGTGATCAAGGCACGATGGATCGAGAAGGAGAAGAGAAGATATGGGGACCCAGAGGATAAGAATAAGGAACTGGGAAAGAGTAGTGAGGATGTGTGGAAGGGGAGGGATCAGAGGTTAGAATGGGGAGAAGCATTTTGCGTGGAAGAACCAAAATGGACAGGGAGTGACGATGAGTGGAGGAAGATGGAAAAAGAACATAGGGAAGCACAAAAAAGCGATCTGTGAAATGATTCTTACACGATTCAGTCATGTGATATCGTGATGTACAACAGTCAGAGCGTTGATGCGAATAGGTTCAGAAGTTACGGTTTCATGACAAAGGCGTTGAATGATTTGATTATAATATGGTGGGTCGTCAGACTATCTATTAACCCGATTGGTATTATATTGCCTTGATGAAAGTATATCCAGAAAACATGATATTCCCCTTTCCGTTTCCTGTACAGGTGCGCCAATCCTTCATCAAAACCTGCCAAACCTTCCATGGTTCCTTGTGCTTTCTGGTCTTCAAGCCAAAGTATTATATACAGTCATGTGTCCGAGAGTCATTATGACGAGATATGCGCCTTACCAAATCATGATATTGCCGTTATCCACCCCAGCTTAAACTCCCAATGTGAATGAAATAGGAGTATGCCCATAATTATACAGCCGTACGACACATGCTTTTACATGCCTGGTTGTCTTCCCATACCCATCCCATTTTGCATCTGCATACCTGGCTGCATCCCTTGCATCCTGTTTTTAATATTTTGGAATACCATTTGTTGAGCTTGCGCCTGTAGTTTTCTCTTCACTGGTTCCGGTAGCCCTTGAGGATGTGCGCCTGTTGACAACTCTCTAGCGGCGAGTTGCTTATATACCTGAGACATTTGTTGATGGGTCTGTGGCTGATTATTGGCCATGAATTGTTGTATCGTCATATGGTTTGTTTGTGCCATTGGTTGCTGCTGTTGCGGGTGCTGCGGATGTTGTTGCTGCTGCTGCTGTTGATGCTGCTGCTGTTGATGTTGTTGTTGTTGCAATTGTTGTTGTTGTTGCAATTGCTGCTGTAACGCCAGATTCTGTACGTTCTGCATGTTCATATTATTGCCCATGAAATGTTGATTTATATTCATGTTCGGGGGCATGCCAGCTTGTCGCATGGCAGCCAATTGATTTTGGTAACCTTGAGTCAATTGATGATTAGGATTATTAGCATTAGCTTGCATCTGCATTTGCCTCATGTGTTGATGCTGCATTATTTGTTGGGGAGTCAATTGTTGTCCGTTAGGCATTACTCCCATGGCTTGAGCTTGATGTTGCTGCTGTGCTTGCTGCTGAGCTCGTAATTGCATCAAATATTGTTGCTGTTGTGCGTTTGTGAGATTGCTTATGCCTTGGACATGCATTTGAGTCGCATTTATTCCCATCTGGCCCATTGCAGGTGCTTGCGCCATCACACCTTGGAGAGGGCTCCCTTGACTCATCCTTGGTGTCAGTCCTCGGTTCAGTGGAGTAGATTGAATGTTGGGAGTGGTATTGTGCATTCGAGGCGTTCCTGCATGGCTTTGCTGGCTTCTTTGAGGAACCATACCATGAGTTGCAGGGGCACCCATCTGAGAATGATTTTGGTGAACTACAGAACCTGGACGAGGAGGACTGCCGCCCATACTCGACGTAGAGTGTTGCATTGGATTATTACCAATACCATTATTGATGATTGGCGATGCCTGGCTATGCGGGGTTCCGTTTCGGACGGTTGGTGAAGACATCTGGGCTTGGGCACCTTGATGCGGATGGAAGCGTTGTGCTTGCATACCACTCGAGACAATCCCGTTTGTCTGGGAGGGATGTGCATGGGGGCCTTGCGCTTGAGGGGGCATACCCTGCAAAGCCTGTGGATGCTGCTGCTGCTGCTGCTGCTGTTGTGCAGCTAAAGCGCGTCGCTGAGCTTCTTGTTGCTGTTGTCTCGCCACAATTTGACGCCTTTCCACTTCCTTCTGCCGAGCCTCGGCCAGCTCCTTATTTCTTTGCACCTCGTTCTCGGCCTTGGCCTTTCGCTCGGCCTCCTGCTCTTGTATCTTTTTCTGGATATGTTTCTCGGCGATCTCTCTTTTGATATTCGCGAGAGCATTGAATTTCTCAAAACGGGCTTCAAATCCACCACCAGCTTGGCCAGCACCATCGGCAGCATTGGCACTTCCAGAGCCACGGGCCACAGTCGCAGAGCGTTGTTCGTCCAAAACGAGCATATAACGTTGTTCATCTGCGGCGAGAGCTTCATCAGCAGCCATTTCCGCGACTGTTCTTTTACGAGACTTTGGTTGAGGAGGTTTTTCTGAATGCATGGGGTGAGCCAATAACCCCAATAACCGTGAACATTCAGCTGCGCTATTTGCAGGCTCAAGTGCCAAGGGAGCAGTAGTGGCTAGGATGATCTGAGCTTCCGCGGCGTATATGTTACCGCAATTAAACTCAAGTTTGGCCTGTTTTAATCTTTTCGCTGGAGGTGGCATGCTTACACCGGGAGTTGGTGGTACAGCCCCGATTGGTGTAGGTGGTTGTGCTAATGTAGCTGATGTGCTTCCATCAGAACGCTCTTGTCGCATATCTATATCTGGTGTGCGAGGGGCAGTGGAATTACGAGCAATTTCGATATAGGTACTAGTTGGTGTTGGATAAAGTACACACATTGTCACTTTTACTTTTGCCGGTAATAGTACTGCTTTGCCTCGCTGAGAATCGTTGGAGGCACCCGGGGCAGGCATATTTTCCTTGTCTTGCTGGGCGGAAGTCTTTGACTTCGTCGGACCATCGCCAGTTTGCTCCCTCAAGTTTTTACTTTTTTCTGTGTCGCCCCTAGGGTATGATGCGTATGCAGATGGTGTAATGTAACTACTCAGAGTATGAATCGAAACACCTTCCTTGTTCCCGTCCTTTGGTTGTGATGGGGTTGGCTGAGGAGCAATGGATTTGTGATCGAGGATCTGGACAATCATGCAACCTTCGTAAAAGGGTACCTCGCACATTACAAAATAATCTATCAACTCATGAGGGATGGTTTTCTTTCTAATATGGTCAAGAAGTATCCTCATAGGGGACACATAAGAAAAGCTGCCTGGTTGATGATCAAATCGGAAATGCGTCGGGTGTAAATGTATAATGATGGAAGGAGGATTTCTACGGTACTTCTCGATCATGTAGCGCTCGGTTTTGACTAGAAGCTTTTAGAATGCGTATACACTGCAGTGATAGGCAAGACAATTTACCATATGGTTGTGAATGCGCAACTTGGGATACAGCAATTTCTCCCACGACACCGCCAGATCTCATACCCGCACCGTTGTTTTTGATTCCTCGACCAAGTGTATTCCCTGGACGATTTCGATTCGCAGAACGAACACCCGAACTGTTTCCGCCTCCACTGCTTGTAGCTGAGTTTGGAGGGTATTTGTGACCTGATGGTAGTCTGCCCGCGGACATTGATGGCGATGGAGAGGAAGTCGACGAATGTATTCCATTCGTTTGAATAGAAATAGGCCGTTTAACTTTGTTAGTCGCCTGAGCGACCGATCCTGCGGGAGCCATTGTCAACTTGATTTCTCAAAAAAAATGTACTCCTACAAACACATTCAACTTGTCGCAAAAGTCAATGTGCTCTGCGCGCTGTCGATGATTGGTTTGATCTTGACCATATATTGCGACCGATGATTCTATCCCTATGTTTTGATGTGTTGAAAGACGCAACTTTCTTTGATGTCTCGAGCTGAGAAATCAGACCAGGAAATGTATCGCGATTCTATATTGCAACGCGATACAAAGTCTATGACATGATCGAGGGGAAGTTGGGTTTGTGTGGAGACCGAAGTTGCATGACATGCCCTACTAGTGCATGTTATAAAGAGCGGAAGAACTGATTCTCCATAACCGAAATGCTTATTAATACTGCCTGATCCTTTTATTGATTTGAGGGTCAACAAGAGGGTTTGAATTTGATGAGGAACAATCACTCCGATCAAACCTGGTACGACGACGACGACGACGATATCTATTCGAACTGAGAATTCTATATCGTTTCAGCACCCGTCGTGTCGTCTAGCTTTTGTTTACGCTATATTAATTGAAATCTTTGTCAATGGACTTGGTATTATCGAAAATTTGAACATGTTCTACGTTGCAATGATCAAAAATCAACTTGAGCAATGAAAAACCGCATACCTTGAGTATTAAATGGTTTGCTCCAATTAGAGCGAGCTCGATGAATCGAAAGGTGATTGAAATAATTGAGTTAAAACCCCGAGTGCACATCTGCTTTCGAAAGGTTGTGACTCGTATACCTCTTCCTTTAGGTTCGTGACAGCGGGCGACGACACGCAGTTTGGCATTGAGGTTCGCTGGCAAAGTTTACTGCACTACTGCAGTTGTCAGACATGGAGGAATTTTACCACGAAGGGGATCATTCATCATCACGAACATCAATCCCATTTAGGAGTAACCTCTAATATTGATTTCTTCCCAGGAATCTGGGGTAAGTCATGAGATCTCTTACCTAGCAATCGTCAAGGTTGTACGATTTTATCCACATTTTTTACGATTTAGCCAGAATCCTTCAAGTGAGGCTTCGAACTTTCTAGATGCCGAAAACCACTCATTTATACGGGCTTCAGAACGTTAGTAAACGGAATAATGATTTCGGTTCTTCTGCTTTTGTCCTCCGCCGATGAAGCTTCAATATATTAATCCATGTCTTGCATTTTCATTGGCGGAAAAGTGGACAAAATATCTTGGCTTTCAAGCCCCCACAAAGGTATTCCGAACCACCCTTACCCTTGACAGAGATTGGGGAAAGCTTTCCAAGAACCACAGATGCCGAAGCTGTACCACATTCAGACTTTTGTCCTCGTGCAGATAGCTCCATATTACAGTTTGCATAGATTTGGCCAATCTATCTGATGCAAGGTCTACCTAGAAACAGGTCTACCTAGAAACACGCCCTTTCATTTCATCCAGTGTTTCCACGAGTGAGAGCTTCTACTACGATATATGTGTGCTGGATTCAATATAAATAAGAGCCCTGATCGCTCCTCTATTTTCTTACATTCGAATATCCCGCACATAATCAAGCATCTCACTATTCAGTCCTATCATCATGAAGTTCGCTCAGTCCTTGGTTTCTTTGGTCTTCGCAACAGCTGCTGTTGCCTCACCTACTCCAGTCCTCAGGAAGAGAGCTACAACAGTCTGTGGACAATGGGACTCTGTTGCGACCGGAACTTATACTGTCTACCAAGATCTTTGGGGTATTTCCGGTTACACCGGTTCCCAATGCACAACTGTCACTTCAGACACGAGTAATTCTCTTGCTTGGTCTACCAGTTGGTCGTGGTCGGGAGGATCTTCTCAAGTAAAGTCTTATGCGGATGCAGGACTTACTATGGCAGCTAAGCAGGTCTCTGCCATTTCGACCATCCCAAGTACATGGAAGTGGAGGTTGGTTTCGTTCTTACCAATTAACAAACTTAGCTAAATCATTATTCCTTCCAGCTACACTGGCTCTAACATCGTTGCCGATGTAGCCTACGATCTCTTCTCCTCTTCTACTGTCTCTGGTAGTGCCAATTACGAGATCATGATCTGGCTCGGTGCCCTTGTAAGTCCTCTACTCCCGTTTCCCTCAATCATGCAACTGCGCGAAAACTAACGATTTCCAGGGCGGTGCAGGACCAATCTCGTCAACTGGGTCACCTGTCGCAACCCCAACACTGGCCGGAGTCTCGTGGAAACTCTACTCCGGACGCAACGGTGCCATGACGGTCTATTCTTTCGTCGCTTCCAGCACAGTCAATAGCTTCTCTGGTGACTTGAAGGCATTCCTTACATACTTAGTCTCAAACCAGGGATACCCATCCAGCCAATATCTTCAATCCATTCAAGCTGGTACCGAGCCATTCACTGGTAAGTCCACCCCTTTATCGTTCAATTTGATGAGAGGCTCACGTAAAATAGGAACCAACGCTGTCTTCAAGACCACAGCTTACACCGTCTCCATGAGCTAGATCCTCGGACAAGGACACAAGACCCGTGAAGCCATCTGAAGGCTTGATGACGAATCGGGGACGAGTTGTATCGAAATGGTTGCGAATAAACTCATCTTCTCCTTCATTGAATATTATCGAAAGAAATAAAAGTTATTCTATAAAGAGATACCATCTACAAACCGAATAATGGCCTTCATCAAAATGTTTCTTTCTTGCTTTATTGCCCATCTAGTCATATCATATGTTCAATAAATCATACAACAACCTCAAACAGTTTGCAGCCGAGTGAAAACATGCTTTTCCACGAACGAAAAGAGAGGTCAAAAGTGATATCTCAATGGCAGCTTTCCATTGAGCCAATAAAACGTATTTTACAAAAGAAAATCAATCATATAGGAAATTAAACAACAATGTTCTAGATCACTACTGAGTATATAATAGAAATGGTGATGCCGACCCATCCTTTTCTCCGGTGGAGCGATAAGGTTTGTTCATAGATCACGACAACAACTGATTTCTTAAATGAGGGCGATATTGGGAAAGCCGAGCAGGACAGCTCGATATAGTCTAGCGTTCACATGCGACCCGCTTCTGAAGTTTTCGACATTATGATTGGATGTTAAGCGAATTGCTGTCCTCGCTTAATCTTTTCGTTCCACACTTTGAAAATTCAATGATTTTCAACCTCTCTTTTCGATCCTCGAACCACGACAATTACTATTCCGCCCAACGAACTTTCCCGACAAACCCTTCAACTAAATAATCAAATACCGCAAAAATGGGTGGTGTTACTGTTCGCGATGTTGACGTAAGTATAAACAATTCTAGCGGCTGTGAAATGGAGGAAGGATGAGCTCGAAAATCGATTTGCGACAGCGAATTTGTACTTCAAACATTCACAACGACGACGTTCATCAATCTTGTGCTTCGCAGGCTACCTTCTCGTCGTCGATCAATGAGCAGGTGTGAGGGGGTCGAAAGATCTCCGCTGACGGAATTATGCTGATTCGACGGGTTAATTCAGGCACAAAAGTTCATTGATTCATATGCTGCTTTCTTGAAGAGACAGGGTAAACTCCCAATTCCAGGTAAGTTTCTATTCATTATTTTCAACAACTATCTTCCACACCCGCCCGCCATTTTCAACCTGCTAACGCGATTTCACTTTACAGGTTGGGTTGATACCGTCAAGACCAGCGCATCCAACGAGCTCCCACCTCAATCCATCGACTGGTACTACGTTCGCGCCGCTGCCAACGCTCGTCACATCTACCTCCGCAAAACCGTCGGTGTTGGACGTCTCACCAAGGTTCACGGTTCAACCAAGAACCGTGGTTCCAGACCATCCCACCACGTTAACGCCTCCGGATCTGTTGACCGTCACGTCTTACAATCCCTCGAGAAGATCGGTGTTTTGGAGAGAGATGAGGATAAGGGAGGTCGTCGTATCACTCAATCCGGACAACGTGATTTGGACCGTATCGCACAAACCACCGTTGAGGCCGATGAGGAGGAAGACGAAGAGTAAATTATCTACATCATCGTCTGGGAATGGAGATTCTTTGCGGGGTTTGGGCTATATGGCGTATCTCATATAAATAAAAGCTCGTCCTAAACGCACTTTGCTTTTCATTATACCCAATGTTACAACGGTTGACGTGAAAGAAATATCACTTTGAAGAATAATTATTTTCCAAGTTTGTAACTTTCCTTGAAAGAATACCCAAAACTCACTTTTCTTGATGACTCGCACTATCCACCAAGTTTTGTAGTTTCAGTTGGTGATGAGATTATCAGTATCTAGCATCGGGTAGTCCCATGCCACATCAATCCTACACAAAGGTCTCCATATTTTTCATCCCGCACAACGACCTTGGTACGATATCCAACGAAGAGATATGGTCAACGAAGCAGTCCCAACATTCAATCGTAACTTTAGAAAGGTGATTGATTTTGTAGTTAAAAGATTTCGCTACAGGGAACCAATGTCGAAGGTCAGCATATCCCTGTGAATTGGTACTACCCGGTATTTACTGTAAAATATTATCTTGTACGATTAGAGGTCATATAGGAAGTAAGTATATCGAGAGTAAGAAAATGATATAAGAAGTACTGTAGGCCCGAGGAAAAAATAAACAGATATCGGTATGGTATGCCATGGTATGCCGTTTAAGTGATTTGAATCAGCTAATGGGCGGATTGGTGGATTGGTGGATGGAGTAGAAAGTGATTGTTTTTTTTCATGTTTTTTTTGTATTGATGGATGGGTAGATGGATGGATGGATGACCCGGAGGCCGGGATATATATGTAGATGTTGGATTTGTTTTGTATGCATGTATGTACGTATGTATTATGTATAGTTTACTGGGTGGTGGATGAGATATCTATATGTGATGTTTCTGATTAGTTGTGAGGGATTGGGAATTGGGAATTGTGATGAGTCGATGTTGGGGGTTTGATGATTTGATATGACTTGATTCGATATGATATGATATGATATGATATGATAAGCATTGTTTTTGCTGGGGGTTTGCTGGGGGTTTGGAGAGGTTTGTTGTTAGGTGGATGGTAGAATGCTGGGGAGAGGTGGGAGATGGGAGAATGGAGGAGAGGTATGTGTTTGTATGGATATATGTGTGTATAAAGTGAGTACGAACTATTGGTATATCTTAAGGTTAATAAATGGAGTTTTGGAGGAAGGGTAGGTAGATTAGAATGCAGCGGACGGGGTGAGCACTGAGTAGTAGAGTGTGGTGGAGTGGGAAGAACTTGGTTGTTAGTCTAGGTGAATGAAATCAATGTGAACTCGCTTTATTGCTCAATATCATATTTGGGTCGATAGCTGGGATGGATGAATGGATGGGTGTGAGATGAGATGGTTTGATGGTACGGTGCTGCTGTCGCTTTCTAGGGCATGTTTATTTGTATTGAAGGGGAGGGAAGTCTTTAGATAAATGAACAGATAAATATCTCGTAGCTCAAGCATATTGCGATTAGTGGTTAGTGATTGGCTTTGTGTATATAGATTCTACAACATCATACCCATTCTGTAGCTGTCAATTGTACTCCGATCAAGCTCACAGTTAATTACCTTTCCAATACCGGTACCTCAATCTTTCACTAAACCTCAAGAAGAAGCATATATAAATCAACATCAGAGCAATCTTGATTTCTAAACTTCAAAGTTAAGAGTATACATAGTATTGCTATCAGTTATCGAGGAATAATGATTTTGAAAAGTTGAGATAGATACAATTCGCACTTACATTGATCCAACGAGATATGGAATAAAGCTCACCGGGGAATCATTCATCCCGGTAAACTTTCTCAATGGCACTACTCGAGTAATGTAACCTAAGTCAACTACCCTACTTTCGGGCCACCCCCCCTTTCGGGCCACCCTTTCACACCAAAAACAGTGATTTTTGATTTTTATAACTTTTTATTCATTCGATATAATTGAATGAAATTTTAATTATAGATTCTTTATATAGTTATTAGATCAGGTACAGATTTTCAGAATTTTAGTGATTTTATATAAAAAGTTATAAAGATTTAAAATTCGAATTTTATTTTGTATAC